ACCATTGAGGACTTCACGTGCTGCTGAATTCTAGGGCGTATTAATGCACCAAACTCGCCCAAGGGGCTCCACGGTGAACTTAGGTAAGTTATGGTTTTTATCATCATTGTTTATATTGCTTACGTTGTTCCCCTTCACAGATGTGTTGAATTTCTTTTTTTTTAAACTGAAATTATGTACTTATTGGATTTACGGTTTTCCCTTCAATATGTTACTCCGTTTGCATTGTTTTCATCTTGTTGACGGCAGTGTGTGTGTGATTGGGTCCCCTGCAAATACTTAGAGCTCCATTCCTGCACCTTTTTCGATTAGTAATGCCAAATTTGATTGACAACTGTCTATGCAAGCGGAATATTAATACCAGTTTTTGGAGCCATTGGTCCATGTGAGAGAAGTAACTCCCATGACGTCAACTGTTTTCCCAAAGTTGTTGCATGCTCTGTTTGTTACCACCTTAGTTCAGTATTATCCAGTGAAAAAGTCTATTCCCTCTATCAGAATTAGTACAAGGCTTTCTGATTTTGACGGACACTACTATCAGATTCTTTGGCATGCCTAGCTTATTCCGTTCGGCTGTTTCTCTTATTTACTTTGTTCTTTTGTGGATAACTAATACCCTACTTACTATGAATGTTTTTTGCCTCGAAATGTACTGAGATTGACGGGTTCAATCAAAGGAAATTTTCTTATCCTCACTAGCTTCAAGCACTATCACTTTCCTCTTCTATCTTTCTGTATAAGTGTTTATACAAGTGTATGCACAAACGCATCCTCCAAGGAATTTCATTGCTGTGTTCCACGCAAGACCTCCATTCAATATTTCATTAGTTTCTTTGATAGACGTTTGCTTAGCACACGCTAGTGTTTTTCAACTCTGACCCATTGGTAGCTTACTTTATTTGTGATTTTCCAGTGGGATGGGACGCAATCACCTTTTGGCTTATCTGTATAACTGTTTTCCCTGTACAAGAAGCTCTTTTCTGTTACAAAACTCAAAATGCCTTTACTGATCACCATTCGTCGTATATTGCACAGTCGTCCAATCGCGAATAACGGTTTTCCTGTCCGTACCATACAACTCAATCCCGTTCTAGCAATATGCTATGTGTCACCTGTGTTCAGTGCTGGAACGGTGCATCTCCCCTTTTATATCCTTAATCTTAGAGGCCATATCTAACTATCAATTTAGTAAGAATTTATAAACTAATAGACTTCAGTTAACACAAAATAAAATAAATATAGACTCACGGCGCTCCGGAATTGGTGATGAAAGAATTCGTTTTATATCTCTCGAAAATGTATCAGCGTGAGTGTAGTACACGTAATCCGTAGCCTTATTTCGCTCTCTTGGATTGATCAAAAATGTGTTTACATCTTCGAATTGTCACTGTGTACCTCGGGTCGACGTTCCAGTGACCCAAGTGCATACGTATTGGTGGTTCTCGAGTTCACAGACCTGACCAAACAGCCCACTGTCAAGGGTTGTTCAGCTGCCCGTGTGTCTGCCAACCTATACATATTCTAATGTCCAGTCGACATCTACCATGCACCCTATTTGTGTGTTTCTGCTGTCTGCGTGCATAAGTGCGACATTTTCTCGCTGGGCAACGTGACTGCTGTCGATTTCTGTGTTGTGACCACGTGCGTGTGTCTATCAGAGGGAGCAACTGAACGGAGCAGTCTCTTCTGTTTGCCCTGTCCCGTGTGCTGTGCTGTTGTCGTTTCACACTCACATGCCCACTCTGTGCCAGTGTGACCACATGTAATGTTTCTTGACCGTGGCCCATATGCGCCGCTGCGCCCACACAATCGCACATACGCAGCAGACGCACATTACAAGGTTGCAGCACTTATGCACAAAGCATACATACAGATGTACACATACTAATAGGAATACGGGAGTGGACAGCCAACATGGACGTAATTTCCCTCTGTTCACAGGCCCTTTTTGTGCGTTTGTGTGTTTTCTCGGTCGCTCACTCCTTGACGGCCACATATGTGCACCTCTGGCAGCTTCTGGGTTCAGAAATGGCGTTTGCTTCGTACCTCGCTTGGGTTTAGTTTGTTTATGCGACTTGTACCAATAGGAGCTCTATTTGTGTCGTTCGTATCGGCCACTCGCTCTCTGTCAATCTACTGTCGAAACAACATGTTTGGTTCGTGATTTGTGCTCTGGCCTGTTCCGTTTGTTTGCCGTTACGGACCTCATTCATCGTGTTCTGTATCTGCGTATACAATCTCGGATTTATGCATTGTTGTCATCTTTATTCGTCCCGGACTCATCTTTATTTGGATAAAGTAGATGAGCACTGTGTTGTGTAAGGTCGATTTCTCGAGTGAAAACAGCCAACCGATTATGTCTAAGAAAACATGTCTGAAAAGTCTTTATTTTTCAAGTTTGATTACTATCAGTTCTTCCATCGGGCCTCCCAAATGACACCCGACTTGCTATGGCATTAAATTGTTTCAAATTGAAAGAAGCCGAACTTGAACGCGTCGAAGAAATTCAAGAAGGTTCACGTCCTACTGCTCGACTGGATGCGCTTAGTAAACCCTCCTCGCAGTCTCCTTGCACGGATGGGACTACTCCTCTCAACGACAGTGGATCAACGAGGTTCGATAAACCTCCTCGGAAGTCAGGAACCTACGATAATACACAGCGCTGTCGTTCAGCAATAACCGGGCGCCATCCAGGTTTTCACTCGTCCACCTTTTCTTCGTGTATTTCGGCAAAATCGGAAACAAAAGAAAGCACATATTCCGCATTAGACAGTTCCAAAGGCGGTAATTGTTTTCGTCAACCATTACCATCACAAACTGGTCAGATCACGGAACTAGATCCACCTAACGCTCAACTTTGTCAATCACATTTTACTCCACAAACCACTGGAACGAAAACCAAAGCCTTCGGTTGTCTCGTTCGTAGTCAATCTGATTCGACCTGTTTATCCATAAAAACACACAAAAGTTCTGCTACCACTGAGCTTAGAGCGAAAGTGGATACGGGACGAATAGGTGTCACGGATAATAATCACCGACCTGACGACGTACCTTATGATTCTCTCTCTTCTATTGCGGATACCTCAACCCTTGATCCACTTCACAGCAGTAGTTCCGAATTAGACGCATATCCTGTCAGTGTAGAAATTTTCCCGCACAATGACCTATCCCATCGATCCGGTTTCTATGACCCCATGAATTCATGTACAGAGTCTCCCATTGAATCGGAAATTACCAAACCTTTTCGTCCAGTCCCTGCCACACGAACCTATCAACTTGTGTGTCGGGATGGTGTTCAGAGCTATGAAGTTGTTACGTCCACTCACATCCGTGAATCCAGTTTGGGTTCGGATTGTAATACCCGTTTGTCTGATGACTCTTGTGCTTCCCCCGTGCTATCACAGAAAAATCATTCGGAAATATCAAATGTTCTGACAGATGTGAAACACGGTAAGCTTAACTGTGTGCACTTAGTTAGTTCTGATTGAAATAGCCATGCGATGCGGTTGTGTGAAATGAACTTGTCTTCTACTTTGACACACTCAATCGATTGCAGTTGCTCAGCTACACGACGAGGGACGGCAAATATTGTAGAAATACTTCGTATCGAATCAGATTGTAAAAGAATGATTCCCCGCCTCCCGTTTTGTTAGAGAGAGATTCATCCATATCTCAATATGTGCACCTGTTCGCCCTATAAGATCGAAAAGACGATGATAGTCGCACGAATTTTTTCGGGGCAATTGTTAAACTACTCCGGATTCCGTAGGATTATGCAAATCATACCATTGACATACACGAAGAAACGGCAGTAGTTATCACTTTCAATATATATTATTGTGTTAAAACAATCGACAGCTTCATTTGTCCGTTCTCCTCTGTCTTTCCCCTTTCTCGTAGCCTTAGAGAACTAGTCGCTTTTCGTATATTGTGCTACTGATGTATTTGTTACGCTCCTGTTGTTCACACCACACTTTCAAGAATGGTTCCATTCAGTTCCTTTTGGAGTACACGTGGTGAATGATGGGACCGTTTCAGTTAGTCATTCCTCTTTTTTACGCTTCGATTATCCTGATATTGCAGATATATGGTTGGTTAAAACAATGCGGTACATATTTTTTTCATAGTTCACTCTACGAGTTGAGACATGTCAATTCACATGGATTAGATAGAAATCTCCTGAAAAGTTAGACTTAGTTAAACGTTTCACTCCTGAAGTGCATGCATTAGTAATGTGTATTTACTTGCCGGGAATAATAATTTCCGGTTCGGTTCAGTGGGCTTTGATTCCATCTACTTTTGTGGGAGAAGTTAAATCCCAATGGCAAAATTACATCGGCGAATATGGATCCTTTGCAGCTGTTCTTTAGTTTCCTGGGTATCTACGAGATTCTCGGGGTGTGCACTGACCTGCTTTTTGTCATCCGATACTTGCTGGATGCTGGTGCACTTGCAATCTGTGGTTTCACCGCACGATTTTGCGATCGATGATTCTGAAATACTTCTGGTTTAACAATTAACGTGAGAAGATTTAAGTTGCACCATAGTTTATGATTACTTACTGTGTAATCGGAGTTCTCATACAATATTGGTCACGAGTGCACTGTTGCCCCACAATCGACCTGGGTTTGATGACAGGAACAAATGAGAAATTATCGCCCTTGCATAGGAAAAGCGATACTCGATGAATACTAGTTATCGGTTAGTACGCAATTCACGCTGTTTTTTAGTTCACATAATAATGTGGTAAATGATGAAAAGGTTGAATCCCGTAGTCAATGAGGTCTACTGTTCTGTGTTATGTAAACTGACTGCCCAAGTTGTGGGACGTGGAGTGGAAAATCTCTTTAGGTCCTAATAAGGTAGGTATGACATTAAACCGGATAGCACCAAAGGTGGGAACTTTTGAGTGATTGGTTGCACTGTTTGTCTTGTTCGCAAAACCAATACGAGGAGGGATGCGAACAGAGTTCATATTGTCAGGTTAGTGTAATGGTCGGATCTCAGGAGTATGGTTTGTTTGTTTTGATGTCGTGATATATGGTTTGGAAATAAAGGGGCACATTTGTGTTTGTTTTTGTGTGGTTTGGAGTTATTCACATTCGATGAATTGAGTGAACTGTTCCATTTCCAATCTGTGTCCTCGGGTCACGATTGTTTCGATCGACCGTGTCAGGTTGAGACCATGGTAAGCGAAGTGACTGAACCCATCGCTTTTGAGAGCATAGAGCCGGATTTGGTAGGTGATTGGTCACCACCAGTGATGAGGTGTCTTTGACGAACAGCTTTTGATAGATGCGCTGGTACTTTGTAGATCATCTTGAATGCGTCCTCGCTCGCCTAATGGCGCGTGTCTGCAAGGTGTTCTGTTCTTCCGCTGCACTTGTTTAATCGTTTTCCTTGTCCCGTGGTCACTGCTTATCAGACCGGAGTGCTTGGAAAAGTGTGCATGCACAGTTGGACTGTGTACTCTGTGTGTTGACCATACAAGTTCCCTTTTTCCCCGTCCCCCAGAGTAGGCCTAATCCCTATCCACCTTGCAAATTCGCACATTGTATGCATTGCGAGTTTGTCAGCGATCAGTGGAGTTCGCTTCGTTGTGTTCCGCTGCACGGGGATGATGATGTCCCGTACTCTACCAGGCTGGTTTGTTCTCTTTGATTCTTTGCGACAATTGTCTGATCCTTCTTTCCACATAAATTACGGAAAATGAGCAAAGAATGTGGTAAATGATCATAGATGAATAGAGGATAAGCAATACATCCTTTCGATTGATGGAGACAATCCGTCGGCTTGTGAATTGAGTACGTGCCTTTGCAATAGTCAATGTACGAGTGATGGCGTCTTGACAACTCACTTCTAATCTTTTTTAAAAGGAAATCTTACGGAGTGCTCTTTTCTTTTCCCTGTTATCAGTGCTCTTGGTGCCGTTCTTTCAGATTATTCAGAGCTTATCGTTCCGGATAACCGGCGTCTAAGGGCGTTAACTGTATATTTTCCAGTTCCTGAAGTGGAAACAATTTATTGTTACTTGATACGCTAAGTTTCTCTTAAGCTTGAGAGGCGTGAAACTGACCAACTAGGAGAATTGCCTGGTCCATTTTGGTTTACGGTAAACAGAGCTTTTCACCGCGCTTCTGTGGCACCCCTTACATCCAGGGAATCAAAATTATCTCTCAGTTCGGATGTGGACGGAAATCCGATGTCTGTGTGAGCACTACTAAAGGCAAGCTTTTCTTTTTTGTGTTTGCTCTTCAATCAGGATGAATATATCATCCCATTGTTGGCAACAGAGTGACAATCTTCTTATTGAGTCCTGTAACTCCCTCTTTTTCAATTTAGCAACAGGAACAGTGCCTTCGAGCAATGTTTGATAAATATCATAAAAATAACACATGGTCAGTTCACCCGTCACGGTTGCTAAGTTTTTAGTCTCAGCATTTGAACAAGTGAGATAGAAACAAAAATGGGCGAATAATGTTGTCATCGCTCTTTATTGGGATTTTTGGGGAGTCTTGTTCAACTCGTTCGTATCCAGTCATTCAACTAACAGCTATTCATTGTTGAATCCGGGTCATTTGTCAACTTCCCGCGGTTTGGTTGTAGAAAACCACCAAATTCTGGGAGTGCTGATTGCAGTACTCCTCTCAGTAGTTCCCAACGAAGATGTGTTCAATCATAACTACAGCTATATCATCAGTGCTTTGTGTGGGTGATGCTCAACCGCGATGAGCCATCTACTTATTCTGAAGAAAGACCGATTTCTGGGAAGTGTAGATTCACATAGGAAACGCGCTGCGGTTGATTGGCTTCTATTCCGCGAAAACTACCGAGGTTTCCCGACCATCGATACCTGTTCTATGTAACTTTTAAGCGCACCTTTGAGAAGTGTTCATTGTGAATTATAAATCATTTGAAAAAAGTGGGTTGTGTGCGGAGCTTATTTGGCTGTGGGAGTAGATTGAATGATTAAACGTAATTTTTCCACATCCCGAAACTGTCGAATGCCTCATCTCTATGGTCATCTATACCTTTTACAATCTAAAATGTTCGAATATCGATTTAGGATACCATGTTGCTACGTGGATAATAACTTGCACATTACAGGGTGAAAACGTGACCTCAGTCATGTCGTGATGATGCAACACGGCGTGACGAGTTGAACGTGAAAAAGTTCATCGGAAATTTCCAGAACTGGTCTTGGTCCCCCTTCGCCCTGCGCTGAACCCGATCGAAGGCCCATGCAATGTAATCAAGCAGAGAGTGAGACAAAGGATGCGTGAGCAGTATAGTGTATTACTTACGGGTGACCCTTCTAGTTTGAGGTCAATGAGCGAATGGCGCACACAGTGCCTGGAAGAAGTCTGCCGTGGAGCTGAGGTACTCGTGACAGCAGTATGTTGCAAAAATCTCATGAGACCCGTCACAGATTTGTACCCAAAAGTCATCCAGCTGGAAAATTTGTGATTATTTCCATTATAATAAACATTTTTACTCTTCCTTTTTGTTGCTGTTTCGTAGTTAGTAATCGGATTATGTTTACATTGTCCCAGCAAGTGCGGGAAGACCAACATTCGTAATGTTACCTACTAGGATGAACGAGCTGATTTCTTGTTATTAGTCGCGATAGCTCTGGTCAGGTTGTTTAGAGGTGCATCGCATTCAACACCTGCACCAAAAGCTTCAGTTATCTGTCTGACGGAGAACCGACATACCGAGGGTGGATAGGAAGTGATTAAAATTGCCAGTGTTATTCTACCGGTTATCTAGGAACACTGCAACTGAAGTTGGTACCAGATTTTGATTACAGCATGACGGTACACGGCAACACTGCTCTGGTGGCGAGAAGCTTCCTGTATTCGGCATTTAACTGCGGGTGGGAGGACCAGAAGAATGGCCTCTAAGATCGCTTGATCTATCTCCCTTGAATTTCTTTCTGTGGGCATATCAAAAGCGTTTATTCCCGAAAACCGAGAACGATCGAGAAGCTAAAGCAGAGTATCGTCGGGCAGTACGAAAATATTCCAGCTGCTACTATCCTGAAGGTGGTAGAAAACTATCTTCGCCGTATTTTGCTATGCAAGCAGCAGGATAGAAAATATACTGAACGACTTAAAAATTAAATAAGCATTTGTCAATCTCCGACGTAGTTAGCAAGATTGTTCAACGTGAAAAAGCCAGTTGCGAAAATGCCAAGAGTTTTCGTTGGCCTATATTAGTGGATATTGTAAGCCATACTTAAGACAAATTCAAAGTTTTATCATGCTTATCCGAACTCGCTTAGAAAATTAGTTGATGTAACTTAGACGAGTTAAACGCTGGCCCAGTGTCATCATCGCTTGAGCATTTCCATCTCGAATTTCTCACATGGCGTACCTTTCCACAACTGATTCTCCTGTGATAATTCTCGGTCAACTCTTAAGTAGCATCGGATTCAGAACTTATCCTCC